GAGCCAATTTAACTCCTTATTCAAACGATTCAATACTTTCTACTTGAGAAAGGTAACCCTCCCTAAATGGGCTGGTCTCACTGGGCTTTAGTCCTCCAGGGGCCAGAAAGGTAGCAGCTACACATAGTCCATAAATTAAGAATATCATTCAGTCCTGGACCCAAGCCACAAATGGTGCATTAGAAAACACACTTTACATCTTCTAAACTTTCTACTCGAAGATCTACGGTAGTTTGGTAGGTTTCCACCGCTTGGGGAGCTGTTAGTTCTTCACGTTGTTTTGTAGCAAGGAGCTTTTAAGATGGCCAGTCAACTCATTCCCTACTTGTGCAATTAAAAAGACTATAAAGAGAATAACGAAATAGGCCTTTGGGAGCCACAAGTCCACACTCTTATTCTGTGCTTTGTGAGTTCCAACAAGGCAGAATGTGTCTGGCTCAGGCTGCTTTATTTGAACAAAAGAGTGGAAGCGGCCTGGGTGCTAAGTGTTTTTAGATCTCCTGGTGGTGTGTGAGTGAGTCATTATGCCCAAGACCACCCTGATGGTGCACATTTAATAGGTCATTTTTTTTAAAAGATTTTATTTATTTGTCACAGAGAGAGAGAGAGAGCACAAGCAGGGGTACTGGCAGGCAGAGGGAGAAGCAGACTCCCCACTGAGCAAGGAGCCCAATGTGGGACTCGATCCCAGGACCCTGGGATCATGACCTGAGCCGAAGGCAGGTGCTTAACCAACTCAGCCACCCAGGCGTCCCAATAGGTCATTTTTATTTCACTAGAAAGGCCCCCTAGTGTTTGCCCTGAAGGCACTTAAGCACATACTTTTCCATGGACTAGGGGAGCCCCTGACCCAAACTGCTAAGCTCTCTGATAACTTCCTACTTATTCTTTAGGACTCACATCATAGTCATGGCTCTGCGGTGCCTTTCCCAGCCTCACTTTTGTGACCCCGAACTACTTTCACAGAACATCATCGTATGCGGTAGTTATGTATACACTAGATATCCCAGGCACCGAGTCTAGTGCTGGTGGGGCATGTGGAGGCCTTCAATCAATATTCACTAATGGTGATGCTGATGTGAATCTAGGCACATTCACTGGTTATATTCTTAGACTTTCATTGTCTTCTACCCAATACCTTTAAAACTGAACATAATCTTCAGTGTCCATACAGAGTTGATGTGGGACAGTTACGGGTGGTTCTTGGGACATTATTCTCAGATCTTGGATGCAATTGTATGATCTCGGGGAGAAAGGACACCTTGGGTTACCTCTTCCTTGCCATCAAATCTCTGGCAGATTATCCGGGCAAAGGTAAGATTAGTACTCCTGGGACAAGGACAAAATGATATCCTCTGCTGGTGACCATGATGGCCAAATTCTTGAGGCCAGAACTCTATTTTCTAGAAGCTGGAGTACCTTTCAGTAGAAAGAATTTGAGGGCTGACAGCTACCATTTATTGAGCACTTACAATATATACTGTGGGAGTCACTTAGTCATTTCTCGAAACAAAACACAAAAAACAAAAAAACCCAATGAGGAAGAGACACTAGTATTATCCTACTTTACAGAAAAACAAATTGAGGCTTACCAACATCATGTAACTTTTCTTAAATTCTTATAGCTACGAAGTGGTAGAACTGAGATTTGAAATCCAGGTCTCTGATTCCAAAAGCTTATGCATGTCATTTTCTGTGATGCTACTTTAAGCAGGATGCTGTTCTGCAATGAAAGGAACACTGAGGTTTATGGTCAGTATCACAGTCTTTAAATGCTCCTGAATTCCCAGGGGAGATAATTATATCAATGATTTAAACTATCTTACCTGGAAATGACCTGTTTTTTTAATTTAAGGCTCAGCTTGTGAATAAATAAATAGGAGTGAGATTATTTAAATTTCCCTTCAAGTTTTTAGTCATTTCATAATAAAATGACATATAGAAACAACATTTAAAAAGTACACACTTCAGTTGGCCTACTGTCATACACAATTCTATTTTAAATGTTCTCTGAAGGATACCCAGCCATATGGTTTGGCTAGTGAAACCAACACTATAGACTCAACACTTGGAAGCAAATCCTTTCTCCTGAGCTCATAATTTAGGAATCATTCTAGTTACCTAAATAGTTTTAAAGAAGTCTATACAGGATGTAGCAAATGAACTCTTGATACTATCTACTTATTTCCATTTTATTTTTGTCAATTTGTAGTTGGTATTTTCTGGGCCTTTAGCTGAATTAATGGAAGAACTAATCGAAACCCAGATGGACAAGCTACTCATGGTATCCATCAATCGAAGGTCATCATCACTGAGATTGATAATTAAAATTAGCAGCAGCATCCCTCATTAATCAAAGATCAGAGTTATGGCTAACTCTCCATGCTGGTACTCTATGGAATAAAGGGTGGAGATGGAGGGATTTAAGATCAGTAAAATAAAATTCTACTCTCTTAGGTTAGGAAGCTCCATTTATTAATAGAGCTATCAAGAGAGCTAACTGGCAGTCACTGGGATAGTCACATTACATATCACTTTTAAATATTACAATGTCCCTATTTGGTAGGATTTATTACCTCCACTTTACAGATGAAAAAACTGAGGCTCAAAAAGGTTAAGTGACTTGTCATTCATTGCTGTGCATCTTTGCCTAAGACATGTCGAGGTGCATGTATAGGTCTGTTTGGCTCTCTGTTTCCTGCTATTTCCATTCTACCATGCTGCTTCCTAAAATGTTTCTTATTGGTGAAGAAAATAATCAGATGTGGAAAAGACTAAAAGAGATATACACAAAATGGGAGCACAAGGTAATTAATTCTGAGTTGAGATCCTAGAAACGTTATAGGGGAACGGACATTGGATTTGGCTCTTTAAAAAAAAAAAAAAGGGTAGGACTGTGCCAGGTAGAAGGAAGGTACTGTGCCAGGTAGAAGGAAGGTAGTGAATATGGACATGACAATAGAAGGTGGAAATTTCCAGAGGCATGAAATGGTATGGTAGGGGTGGGGGAAGTGGTAGGAGATACAAATAAAACTGCAGGTCACAGTCTTCTACACCATGTGAAGGGCAGATCCTGTGGGCAAGTGAGGGTCTTCACATGATATTAGGTAGCAAGGCCATGATATGGTCAGATGGGTGGTCTAGAAGGGGCACCCTGCAAAAGGAGAGATGCTTTCATAAAAGCTGAGGAGGAACTGATCAAAGAGAGTAGACTCAAAAGGCAGGGATGAGTGGACTGGATGGTACTTGGTGAGTGAATTCAAGAGTGAAGAGTGGAGAGAAAAATGAGAATGAACATTTAGAGCATCCTTTCTGTCCACTACATGCTGTGCTCAGCTTTCACACCATCTACCTTATTGAAACCATGTAACAAGTCCATGAGGGGAGTATCTTTGTTATTCCCAGTCTACAGCGAAAAAAGTGATGCCTAGAAGTCTCAGTCACAGCTAGTGATTTGTGGAAAATCTGAATGCAGGCAGGGTATCTGCATGGCTTTTGATGTTTACTATTGCATCCTTCAACTCCTTGGATGAGTCCAACGTTTTCATTCGCTAGGACAGGGACTGGGAAGAAATGGAAACGTATATAGAGAGAACCATTGAGATCAACATCATACATTTTGAGTTTAACTTTTCTATATGATATCCAGGTGGAAGTATCTGGTTAAAGAATCGGAAAGAGGGAGAACAGGAAACCAAAGGTGAAGAAGGCATCATTATTATAGATCGTGGTTAAAACCCGGGACCACAAAAGTTTGCTTGGTGGAAGGATATACACAAAAGTGAATGGTGACAAGGTTGGATGCTCTAAAGACTATTTTCCCCTTTGAAAATAAATAAGTACACACAGACATAGAACCTTCTAACAACACAATCCTATAAACTCAAGCAGTCTTTATTTCCATTTATGCCTTTTGTGACTTTTTGTTCTAGTGTGAGAAATATTTACTTGCCTGGTTTCTTAAAATCATTGCCTTATTGGAGTGTGAAGAGTTGTTCTCCCCAAACTCTAGCTCCAGAGAGCCTTGGTCTCCTCTAGACGGTCACCATTACTCATGTGCATAAACTTGTCAAAATTGGACCTTGAAGCATTCACATCTTAAAATTATTGTGAACAAACATGTTTTCAACTGGGAAGAACAATATCGTAAAAATTAGAAGCAAAATAGTTGGTTTTTCTCCCAAACCTGTCTCCTTCTCCTTCTGGGCTATCCACTCCAGCCCCTGCCTTTGCCAGCAGTCCCGGGGACAGAATCCCAGGTGACAACAGAACAGTAGGCCTGAGTGAGAGAAACATATCACTATATAGCACACACGCTAGCAGTTGAACCGAGAGGGTCACGGGCACGCCATCTCACTGCCTGCATTGCAAAGTGTGTTTGCTGGGGGATGGAGGAAAGGTCTGAGCGGACAGGAGGTGTTCCTGTGGCGTAGTGTAGCGAGCGTTGCTTCTCAACCTCCAAAGAGCGGGAAGAACTGTTCTCAAAACCATCTAGCTATTACAGAGACTCAGTCCAGAAGGCCAGAGTAATTCATGGCATGACTCATTAAATGCTTTTACAATTTCCCTCTCTAAGTGCATTCTGCACAGGAGACATGCATCTGTGGGACTGACCAGGCAGACAACAGGCCTTGAGAAGGGGCCTTTTTTTCACAAAATCCAAAATTCTCTGTGTCAAGTCACCTCACAAAGAAAACTGAGCAGTGCCGAGGGAAGAATTTAAAGAGCAAATCAAAGGTTCCTGGTGATTCTACTGTATTTTATAAAACTATTTACATTTCTCTTTTTGGTCATTGACACAAACAGCACAGCCACAAAGTACTCTTTTGATTTTAATAACTCATCTGATATGTATTTATATATATTTATATATCTGCTTATCTTCATTTCCTCAGCAAAAGGGGAAATAAAAATATCGATCTATAAAATAAGCTGATGATATAACACAATGCCAAAAACAGCTTATGTTAAGTGCAAGGGGTGAAGCTTGAAAGCAAGCTAAATTGCAACAATGTATTGATTTAACATTTTAAATACAAGACTTGCAATAAAATAATTCTTGAGATATGCTTCTCATTTTTAGTTTACTTTTTAAAAACTACTCTCTACACACATATCCAGTTGTAACACTTGACAGTAGCATTAGGGGGCATGATGTAACTTTGGTACACATTGCAGATATGGATGGGTAATGTCTGTAAATGATATTCCTTCACCAGTTAAGATCACGGTACAGCAGGGGACCAGCACCTGATCCCATATAATGTTCCCACTAGAACCCCAGAGCCCTTCCCAGATCCATCGGAGACAGCGGGAGGAAGCAGGCTCACTGGATCCATATTGTGTTTCCTCTCTCGGTTCTCCTGGGTTCCACTGTCAGCTCCCCAAACGTGGAAAAAAACTGCTCCATTTCTTTCTGAAGCATGTCATTTCTTTTCTCGGCATCTTCTTTTGCTCGCTCGGCATTTCGCATTTTGATTTCTATCATTGTGAACTTTTTCCTTTCTTGATCCAGTTCATCGTGGAGGCTCATCATTTCTGTTTCCAAAGTCAAGTTTCGCTGTTCTAAGCTAGATAGGGTGAGGGAGGGAATAAAGGATAAAGTGATTTTATTCACTTGAAATGTGACAGGGATACAAATATTTTCTGAACTCTTATTTCTACAATGCTTAGGAAATTGTAATGGGCCCTTGCAAATCAGTAAAGCAAGGTCTAATGATTTAAAAGATGTATTTTTATTCATTTGCTCAATCGTTCATTCATTCATTCATTCTATTTGCTAGGATGATTTACTATCATTTTAACAAGAAGACCTCAGGACATCGCTTGGAAGCTCTTCGTGGTCATTTGATTGTGAATGAATGAATGTCAGCACAGAGAAGCCAGAGACTGATTATCAGGGAGCATAGAAGGGCAGATGCGGGAGGCAACCCAAACGACAGGGCTTCCTGGAGTCATTTCAGATAAAGCTGGCTTTACTAAAAGAAGAGGGAAAGTCTGATAAAGTTGGAGGAGAAAGAGGACATCATATTCGCTTTCAATCAAAGGAAAAATAATGATAGTGAAAATGTCATTGCTGGGTAGCTCAAGTCTCTTCTGCCAGGAAGTTACTAATCAAAAGTGGCATAGCAATATTAGTATCAGAAGAAAGAGATTTTTAGCAAAAAGCATTATTACCATTAAAGAGGACCATGACTTAATAAAAGGACCAATTCATCAGGGAGATATAAACAATACTGAACTTTTATTCACCCAGTAGTCTAGCCTCCCATTATTCAATATAAAATGTAACAAAATTATAAGGAGAAATTGATAAATCCACAATAACATTAGGAGATTTTTCTTTCTCAGAAATTATAGATCTGATAGAAATTAGGAGAAATGTAAAAGGTTTGAAAAACTTGACTAACAGACTTGATCTATTAGTCCTATATAGAACCCCAAACCAGTAAAAAGAGAATAGTTTTTACCAGGCCAAATAATTGATATCATGTAAACAAATTTCTCCACAGTAAAGTTAGAAACTAATTTTGGGGGTAAAAGAATATCAAACTCACATGTTTAAAAGCTAAACAACACATATCAGTGATTGATAACTAAATAAAGTATTATCTATCTACCTGTCATCTATCTATATCACCTATGAATTTGTCTAACTTCAATATTTTGAAGGATGGAGTTTAAAAGAAACTGAAAGAGAAATGTCTGATTGCAAATAGGAACAATCAAAAATTAACTAGAACAGTTACCCTCTTCTATTTCTGTGGCTTGGGCCCGTGGCAGCTTCTCTGCTCCACTTTGTGGTACAGCAGGGGACAGGCCCTCTGGCAGGTCAGAATGCTACAGGAGGAGGGCCCACTGAGATGACATTCTACTGGAAAGTTCCATTATTTTCTCAAAGTCTCTGAAATGCGCCATAGATCACAGAACATAAATAGGCCACCAATGTTCTCGCAAATGAATGTGTACATTGGCAGCCATTCAGAATAGCTTTTTTTCCTCTGTTAATACAAGTTTAAAGTGTTATCTCTTGCTTCCCAGTGCTAAGTGCTAAGCTATCACCATGTACTGGCAGAAATTCAGAGTTCTGGTAGCCAGGGGTTCCAAAAACTACATTCAGAAATGAGAGTTACCTTATAAGCTGATGGCATTTCTCTTCTTCCGTAAACCTCCTGTCACTTGGCATTATAGAGAAAAATTCAAACCAAGTTTCTGTTCAGCAAGGTTTACAAAAACTACTTCCTAAGAAAGTCATTTTTCAACTTAATGTATAAGTAGTACTTTAGGTTATATTTACTTTACCAAAGCTCTTGAAAATCTGTATCTTTTAGCCTGATAACTGACTAATGGATGGCACACATATTAAAATACATTGAAGCCAACTTTATGGATAAAGAAGCAGCCGTGTGGGGTCTGGAGGCATGGCAGCTACTGAAGCCGGACAAAGACTGAGGTCCACTCCTCTAAGGACCCCAGAGCACCCACGAAGCAGGAGGGCCACCAAGTCACACAGCCCGAAACTGGGGCGGAGACCACAGAGGGGCAGCTTCATGCTGAGCTGAGCCTTAAGCCTTCTCCTACTTGAGAGTTAAGTGTCCTCTTGCCTACATTAAGCTGAAAGGAGAACATAAAGATCATCAGTTTTAGAATTTCTGTAACCATGGTGAAAATGCAGGGGAGGGACATTCTGGTTTCTGGCCCAAGGTGCTGTTTGTGAGCCCTGGGCTCCATTCTCCATTCCCGCCTCGCAAGTCCACAGAACATGTGACAGTCAGGGGCGCTGTGAACACAGGACACCCGACCAACACCCCTTATCCTGCTACGGCTGCTTCCCTGGAGAAGTTGCTAGGCACACTTCTACCTTGGTCATCTTGTGAGAAGATATAAACTGATATAAATTAGGGTTTAGCATAATCGCTTCCTTATAAATCATAGCTTTTGCTCCTTGTTTATCCTACAATTTCCCTTGTCCATACAAACACACTTCATGTCATCGCTCTTCTCAAAAACCTCCATGGATTCCAATCTCAGAATAAAAGCCAGACTTAAAGTGATCCCCAAGGTCCTATGTCACTGGGCCCTCTTCTCTCTCTGAGGCCCCTGCCCATCCCATCTCACGACATTTCCACTGGCTCTTCTCCCAGGTAACTGCAGGCTTCCTCTGTGACTGCCTTCCAGTGGTCCCTGCTGGGGACCTTACACCTCACCAATGCTTCTTACGCCTTGTCCCTGTGTTAGTCTTCCACTTAGTATCTGAGCTACTTTACCTCTTGATCTGTCTCTGCAGTGGAATGGAAACAGGTTCCACGAGGGCTGAGTTTTTGTCTATTTTATTCACCACTGAACCCTTAAAGCCTGGCGCTGAGCCCGGCGGACAGCAGACACTCTCTCCAGCATTCAACGATTAAAAGAACGAAAAATAATCATCTGTTTCTTTTGACGCCTTTTCTTCACCCTCATTTCATCCTCTTGCCGTCAGTGAAAACAGGCTCCTTACTTTCCATTTACCCTAGCCCCTCCCTTTCCCGCCTGTAACACAACCCCACACATTTAATAACAGAAGATAGCATTATGGAGCAACTATTCTGTGCCAGGGACAACGCTCAGTGATTTCTCACATGCTTTTAAGGTAAAAACCACTCATATTTCAGTTTTTCACAGTAAGAACCCGAAAGCTCATAGACAACTTTCCCCAAGTCCCACAGCTTGTAAGTGGGGAAGCCTGGACTCGAACTCGGCTCTCTAGCTCTGGAGCCAGCATGTTTAACCTCCTGTGTGAACCTGTCCTTGCAGGAGGAGGCTGTTGCAGCCTTTCTGACAGCTAGGAGCTCCGGATTTTCCTCACCTCTTTATCCTGGACTCATACTCTATCTTCTGTTTGGTCATCTCCTGTTTCAGGCTGGACACTAAACTGTGCAGTGCACTGTGGTTGCTGGTGTTGTTGCCCACAAATGTCTCACTGTTGTCGCTGCTGCTGGTGGCACGACTACTCCGACCTCCCACACTCCTCCGGTCACTCTTGTTTTCATAGTCCCCAGGGTGGGAGAGGTCGTCCTGCGGGGGCCCATCCAAAACAGGGTCCTCAAAATTAGCCCCGTAAAAGTCTTGCTCTGGGCAGGTGGTGGTGGAGGAGCGACAGGAGTTGGAATTCTCGGGGAGGGAGATTTCACAGGAGGAAGTGGACCAGGTGGCGCTGTCGACACTCTGCTTGTCATCAAGGTTCATCATGGAGAACTGTTGATGGACATTGTCATAGGTGGAGAGCCTGTTGTGCTGGCCTGACTCTCCTGCTTGCTCTTTCTGCTTGTTATCCCTCAGGGTCACATAGCCATTGGGCAGCCAACTCATGCTGCGACCGTTCATGGGGCTCCCAAGAACGTCGGGGTTCAAAATGCCCATTCGCACCGTTCCGTTCTGTACACTGTGGGTACCCATTTTGGTACCAGACCCCTTCAGGGAAGAGGTCCTTCTGGCCTGTAAGCTCCCATTGGGAGTGGTTTGGGTTTTCTCCAGACCTTCTGCATTACTGCTGCTGAAGGACCCATTGGTGACTATCCCACTGCCCTTATTGAAGGCAGGATTCTTTTTGACCATGAGAGGGGGGCTCCTAGACACATCCAGCTTGTGAACGCTGTTCCTTGGGCTGTTGGTTTTACTACCTGGTAGAGCTGTGGGGGATCCATTATCCATGCCGCTTCTCTGGGGAGACTCGGACTTGTCCCAAGAGCACTGCCTACCAGGACTGTCCTTGGTATTATTGTTCTCCTTGTTCTGTAGCTGACCCATGGTGGCTTTCTTCGGAATTTCATTGTTGTTGTTGCTCACTCCATCTTGGGGTTTGCTTTGCAGTTCTGCATCTTTGGGGAAGAGGCGATCATGTTTGCCAATCATCACTGACATCAACTGCTGGACCACCACAGTGCCTGGAATTGCATCGGAAACACAGTAGTATGAGTGAAATAGTTCTATTTCCCACCTTGAAAGTGACTCTTAAAGAACCACAATCAGATGAACGTTCAGCATTGTTATCAGTAGTGTTGAACTATATTCTTAATGACGATAATAGCAATAGAAGCTAAAAGTTCTTGGGCATTTACTGTGTGCCACGAACTGCACCAAGCACTTTCCTTTTGCTAGTTTAGTTGGATTTTAAAACAAATCTATGAATAGGTAGTCATTATCATTGTATTGTAAATGTTAAGTAACTTGACCAAGGTCACAAAGCTCTTAAGGAGCAGAAACAGGGCTTGAAACCAGAGTTAGCTAGTTCCAAAGAATAGGCTTTTAATCATTATACACCATTTCCTGCAAGTTTGAGATTTAATTATGAGAAATCTTCCTCAGGAGGAGGTCAACGTGATCTCTCATCTGACAATTGCCTCAAACCACAAAGATATTTTAGTGGCATTTCTTAATGGAACCCTATATGATCTCTGGTGGATATATGGTCTGTCTTTCTAATGTAGCACGATAATGACGCTCCATATGACTTTTGTTCACTATTCCAAAGTTTCAAGGCATTTTAAGCAATAAGAGCCAGAACGGCATAATAAGGATCTTCAGAAACCCTCTTCTCTGTAAAAGCAAGTGACAAAAGTATTCTGAATCAACATTTGTAGGAATTTGGAAATTAACTAAAGGCTTGTTACAGTCTGAAGAGTGTTTATCCAAGGAAAATGGCTGACTCAGTCCGAACAGCAAGCTCTGTGGTGTTTTAACTCTGTCCCCATCCTCTTCTCGCTAGCTTTGCAATAGCCTTGAAAATGAACCCCACAGTCCCAGTGTGAACCGGCAGCTTGGCAGCCCCTGCAATGGGCAGAACAGAGTTGGAATTCCAAAGCTCCATTCCCAGAGTATTGTCATTGTTTGACCTGTTTGGTGGTTCCCTTGAAGAGCCCCCTCACAATGCATGTCTTTATTTGATCTGACTAGGAATTGGACCAGTGTGAAGAGCATTTTTCTCAAGGGCATTTGTCAAAAATAATGAGGGCTCTTTTGTTTAACATCATGGCTGCCAGAAGCAGTGGATAACAGTAGGGGCAGATAATAGGCTAACCACAAGCTTAAAAGGAAAATCTGAGGAATGTGATTTCCATGGGGGGTTTTGAAAAGCTTGGATCTATTCCTGGGAATCTAGAAAACTACAGGCACGTTTAGGGTTTTGTGCATGCCTACAGCTGTGTGCATGCTCAGGAAAGAACTAAGTCCCTAGTCTCTGACCTCTGGCTGATCTTGAGGCTCTGCACAAGCAGAAACTGAAGGCTACTGCAGAGTTCTGAACTGCCTGGCTGAATGTCAAAGGTTGGCAAACAGAGCCCTTTGGTAAAAAAATGGGAAACTGACTGGCCTAGGCAATTTAAGGAAATCTTTGCGAGCAAACCAAGCATAGATTTCAGTGGCCACATATGGCAAAGAGTACAGACTTTATAGAATTAGTCCAGATAAACCACCAAAAAATAACAACAAACCTGAGGATGAGGAGGACTTGATATCCAAAGTTCTCACATTATTATATTATTAAAAATGTCCAGTTTTCAATGAAAATTATAAGACATGCGAAGAGTAAAGACATTATGGCCCATACACAGGAAAAAAACAAACTCTGAGGAAGCCCAGACAGGATACTCACTAGACAAAGACTTTAAATCAGCTATTTTAAATGTGTTCTAATAACTAAAGGAAACCATGTCTAAAGAGACCAGATGAAAGTGAGACTAATGTCTCACCAAATAGACTTTATTATCAATAAAGAGACAGAAAGTATAAAAATGAAACAAATAGATATTCTAGAGTTGAAAAGTTGAAGTGAAAAAAAAAATCAGTAGAGGGAATCAACAGCAGATATGAGCAGGCAGAAGAAAGAATTGTTATACCTGAAAATAGGTCAACTGAGGTTATCCAGTCTGAGGACCATAAAGGAAAAAGAAGGAAGAAAAACAAACAGAGCCTCACATACTTGTGGGACACCATAAAGTTTACCAGCATATGCCTAATGGTAGTCCCAGAAGGAGATTCCCAAAGGAGAAAGAATATTTAAAGAAATAGTTGCTGAAATGTCCCAATTTGATGAAAAATGTGATCTGTATAGCCAAAAAGATCAGCAAACTCCAAGCTAGGTAAATGCAAAAGGATCCAAACTTAGACCCATCATAGTCAAGCTGCCTTAAACCAAAAACAGAGAAAGAATCTTGAAAGTAGCAGAGAGAAGCAACTCATGTATAAGGGATCCTTAGTAAGATTAACAGCTGATTTCTCATCATTTCGCATTGCCAGAAGGTAATGTGGCAAGATATTCAAAATGTTGAAAGACTGTCGAGCAAGAATTCTATATCCAACAAACCTATGCTTCAAAATGGAGGGGAAATAAAGACATTGCTAGATAAACAAAAACTGAGAGAATCTGTTACTACCAGGCCTGCTCTACAAGAAATAGCAAAGCATTAGGCAGGGCATTTTAAATGATGAAAATACCTTTGAGAAAGAAAATAATTCTCTTACACAGGTGCAAATACTATGGTTTCCATTTGATTCTCATATCTTCACTATGCACTGTAAAGTATGAATTAGAAATGAATACGAATCTCAGACAGCAGAAGTAATCAGACAACAACGGATAAAAAAGTTAATCCATTAATAAAAGCAGTCATTTATTAAAAAATCAATGGATTTATCAGGTTTTATGGCATATTAGCTGATATCTCAAGTATATTTTCACATATTCCTCACTGCCTTTCAAGCTGAGCTCCTACCCCTTAAAACTGGCTGCCACCATTAACTAGGCTTCTCAAGTAGTTTCCTAACTTGGAGCCCCTTCTCCCCTCAATAACCCAAGGAACTCCTTAAGTATTCGTTTATTCATGTACCCATAATAAAACAGTATAGGCTAATGCAAACATCAATCATCTTTGCTTTGGCTTGAACTATACTAATTTGATGTGTTAACTGGGTTTATATGACGTTGCTAAAAGCTCCTAGGAATAGTCTCCAATAAACAGACATAGCAAAACAATTTAAATTCTAGTTAGTAAGCGTACTTTCTATATAAAATACTTAAATTGAGATATGGTGGGGAAAATGATGACAAGGGCTTTGACAGCGCAGATTTCGATCGGAAACAGCTACTAATTGGGTAGCTGTAAGAGAGTAGAGGCCTGATCTGGGGTGAGGCCACTCCTTAGCTTAAAACCATGTGTTGGCAAAATCTGACTCTGAATGTAATTCAAAATCAAATTTTGAAGCTGAAAAAAATGTGTTAAATCCATCTGTATCCTGCATACTTCTGTGATAATCCAAAACTTACAATATTTTAGATCACGAATCTTCAATGTGCCAGGTCTGATGCTGGGTCAGTGTTGCTCAAACTTAATGTTCTTTCAAACTACCTGGAGATTCTGTTACAGTGTATTGGGTGGGGCATGAAATTTTACATTTCTAACCAGCTCCTGGATGACACCAGCAGTAACAGAATAGTAGCACTGATATCACCTGGGAGCTTTTAAATTGCAGGACCCACTGCAGATCTTCTCAATCGGGGAACTTGCATGTTAATATCTCCAGATGATTCCTATGTATGTTGGAGTTTGAGAAACACTGTGTTAGGTGGAGATGTTTCACTTACATCTTTTAAATTAACTTTCTCAAAAGGCTGTGAGACAGGACTTAAAATTTTTCAGATGAGAAAATTGAGGTTCAGAGAGGTTAGGGTGTTTGCTCAAGGCCACACAGATGATAAATGCCCAAGGTGAACTTTCATACTTTGTCTTCTGACTCCAGAGCATGCACGGTCCTATTATGTCTCAGCTGTTAGAATTTAAACTGTAGTAGCAACAAGTAAGCTTGGGGTTGTTCTAAGTAAGAAACTAAATAAAAGACATCTATTTATTGAACCAGAGTTGTGGAAGAAAAAGGACTGAAAAAAATTAATGGTATAATATATCCATCTTTCCTTTTTTTAGCCACCTCTGACTTTGTCATCCTATTTTCAGTGCATGTAGAAGTGAATCTGATGAAAAGATGTTAGTGTAGTTAAAATGGCTGTCAACACTGTCGTTATGTACTGTTTGAAGACATGTGTACTTAGTCCTATTTTACTATTTGCTCATATGACAGACACGCTTTCAAATATTAGCAGCCTCTATTATATATGACTCTGTCTAGTACTTTGGGAAAATGGAGCTTTTCCCCATCACTGGAATATTAACATTTGAAGCATCACTACTTCTCACCATGACTGTGAACTATGCAGGGCATTTCATTAATTGAAGAGTGACATTCCCAAGATCTCCATGATGAGTCTGTGAACAGTCATGACAAAGTTACCTGCCATAATTATAGAGTGACTGTCAGGGCCCCAGCGATCTAGAAATCTCTCTCTTCTACCTTGGGAGGCTTTGCTTTCATCTAATATCCAGAATAATAAATGGCAATAGTTCTTGCAAAGGGACTTTCTTTCAATTTTTATATCTTTTTAGGACAGACTAGCTTAGTAATGATGAAGTATGTGTCTCTATATACTCTTTTTTCCTTTTTATTTCCTCTTCTCTGTCATTTTCTTTCTTGGGCTGCTAATGAATAACATGAAGCCCAAATAATGAGGTCAGAGTGGTTATAATCACCAGCCCATTGTGAAGAGTCCAAGCAGCTTTGGGGGTCCTACTGTACTACATGGATCCTGAAATTCCCCCTCGTCTATATACTCTCCCAAAGGTTGAATTTAAATATCACATTAAAGGCACTTCTTCATAAGAATTGGATAAGAATTCAATTTCCCTCTAAAGGTACCTAGGCACTTTAAAATACACTTACATAGTATGGTGACTACCATAACATAATAAAAAAAATAATAAAATAAAGTAAAATGCATATACATATACACAGACATATGACAGCCTTCTATGAAATGTAGTTTCGATTTGTATTTTTGCAATGAATAACTTTATACGTGTGTCATTTTGTACATGTACAGATGTTTGTAAGTTATATCATGAATTTTGACAAATGATAGTCCTGGATGTTTCCATCTAATCATGAAATAGACAAATTCCCTTGTGCCTATTTGTAGCCAATTCCCTACCCCCACCTCCCAACCATTATAATCAGTGATCTGCTTTCTAACATTACAGTTTTTCTTTTTCTAGAATTTCATATAAATGGAGTTATACAGTATGAAGTCTTTTGTGTCTAGGCATTATTCACTTAGCGTAATACTTTTGACATTTATCCATATTATTGGATGTATCAAATAGTTCATTCTTTTTATTGCTGAGTAGTATACCATTTTATGAATGTACCAAAAATTGTTTATCTATTCACTGATTGATGGACAATTGGTCTGTTTTCAGGTTGGAGCTATTATGAAATAAAGTTGATATGAACATTTGACTAAAAGCTTTGGGTGAACATATATTTCCTTTATATATGGGTAAATTCTTAGCACACTGCTCTGTTTGGTCTTATGGCTAGTAAATGATTAAGTTTATAAGAAGCTACCCAGCTTTGCAAAATGGCTCTAACATTTTGTATTTCTACTAGCCAAACTAAATATTTTAAGTCTCAATTTTATACTTTGTAGAGGATGTGTAGTGGTAGGTCATTAGAGCTTAAATTTGCATTTCCCTAATGACTAAAAATGCTGAGCATCTTTCCATGTGTTATTTGCTATTTGTTTATCTTTGTTGTTTTTTTTTAAGATTTTATTTATTTATTTGACAGAGAGAGACACAGCAAGAGAGGGAACACAAGCAGGGGGAGCGGGAGAGGGAGAAACAGGCTCCCTGCCGAGCAGGGAGCCGGATGCAGAGCTCTATCCCAGGACCCTGGGATCATGACCTGAGCCGAAGGCAGACGCTTAACGACTGAGCCACCCAGGCGCCCCAGCTATTTGTTTATCTTTGATGAAATGTCTAATTCAGATCTTTCATCCAATTTTTCACTGGATTCACTGTCCTATTATTTGTATGAGTTATTTATATACCTTTAAAACAAATTCTTTAATTCTTTAATACTTGATTCATAATATATTCCCCATTTCCACGGCTGGCCTTTTTGTTCTCTTAAGGATATCTTTTTTTTTTTTTTTTACGATTTTATTTATTTATTTGATAGAGAGAGCGAAATAGCACAAGCAGGGGGAGCAGCAGAGGGAGAGGAAGAAGCAGGCCCTCTTCCGAGCAGGGAGGCTGATGCGGCACTCGATCCCAGGACCCTGGGATCATGACCTGAGCCGAAGGCAGATGCTTAACCATCTGAGCCACCCAGGCACCCTGTTCTCTTAAGGATATCTTGATGAAGTACAACTTATCAATTTTTTTTATGGTTAGAGATTTTTGTGTCCTAGTAAGTCTAAGGTTTTTTTCTCCTATGTTTTCCTCTCTAAGTTTTATGCTTTTAGCGCTTACATTTAGGCCTATGATCCATTTCAAGTTAATTTTCTGAGTGATGTGAAGTAAGGATAGAGGATTTTTAAACATATGCAATTTTTCAAGTATCATTTGTTGAAATGACTACCCCTTTCCCACTGAACTAACGTGGCACATATGTCACAAACAAATGACATGTGTGGGTCTACTTCTGAACTCTCTTTTCTATTACATTGATCTATATGTCTATCTTTATATTGATAGCACACTACCTTATTTGTGGCATTATATTAAGTCTTAAATCAAGTAGTATATTTCAACTTTCTTTTTCCCTTTCAAATTGTTTAGACTATTCTAGATAATTTTTATTTCCATATAAGTTTTATAATCAGATTGTCAATTTCTACAAATAAAATTTTTTCTGTAATATTTTTGAGAATTATGTTGATACTATAGGTACACTTCAGGAAAATTAATAGCTTATTGATTTTGACTATTCTAATCGATGAACATAGTATATTTCCCCATTTACATAGTTTTTTTCATAAAAGTTTAGTAGTTTTCAGGATATATATCTTGTGCATGTTTTCTTAAATTTAACCCTAATTTTTGATATTTGTAAGTATAGTTCTAAAACTATATTTTTTATTTCAACTTCCAATTGTTCAATGTTAGTGTATAGAAAAACAATGAATTTTTATAAATTGACATTGTATCATATGACCTTGATAAGTTCACCTATTAGTTATAGTAGCTTTCCTTATAGATTTCCCAGAATTTCCTACCTAAATTATCATGTTGTCTGTGAATAAACAGAGTTTTACAACTTCCTAATTTGTATGCCTTTAATTCCTTCTTAATACTTTATCGCACTGGCTAGGATTTCTAGTACAGTCGAAGTGCCAGAAGTAGGCAATCTTACCTTATGCCCAATCTTAGGGGGGAAAGCATTCCGTCTTTCACCATTAAGTATAATATTATAACTAAATTTTTTATAGATGATCTTTGTTAGGTTAAGTTCCTTTTATTTCTAATTTGCTAACAGCCTTTATCATGAGTGGTGTTAGATTTTGTAAAATACTTTTTTTGGTATTCACGGACAGGATTTTTTTTTAAAAAAATGTCAATATGGTGAATTACATTGATTTTTATTGATTTTTATTTTTTTTAAAGATTTTATTTATTTATTTGACAGAGAGATAGAGAGCACAAGCAGGGGGAGCAGCAGAGCAAGAGGGAGAAGCAGGCTCTCCGCTGAGCAGGGAGCTTGATGCAGAGCTCGATCCTGGGACCCTGGGATCATGACCTGAGCTGAAAGCGCCCCAGAATTACATTGATTTTTAAATGGCTAGCCAAGCTTGCCTTCCTGGGATTAAAACCCACTGGTGTTGGTTTATTATCCTTTTTATATGTTCCTGAAGTCAGGACATTAGGGCCAAAGACATTAAAAAATATCAAATAAAAAAATAGTAAAGATTAAATATAATGCCTAGGAAATCTATTTGGTTGATAAACTATAAAGAAATGCAAGGGAGTGATTGATACAAATGTCTGTGTAGTAAAATAGAGTTATAAGTAAGTGGGGGAGTAAGATGGAGCAACAGGACACAGAGCCAGACTTTGGGATGCCTAAAAAAGCTATATTAATTGACCTGGGTGGTGATTTCTAGAGTATTTGTCTTATATAAATTCATTAAGATGTGTATGTGTGTGTGTTATTGGTGGTTTTCATTATCATATGCCTTCTATTTTATAATAAAAAAAGGTTTCAGAAAACTATAAAGTACTGGTAAGCTTCTTAGAGCTTCACATTTTATAACTTCTAATGTCTGCTAAATTCTTCCAAAAGAAATTAAGTTTTCTGGACCAACTAACTTATTGCCCCAAATATGACATTCACTTGATATTGCCCTAAATATCTGACAAGGAAATGAAGCTGAGTTGATGTAGGCAAACACTTAAAAGCTTTCTCTTCTGTCTCATAAGATATAGAGGAATAAAAATCTTAGAATTTTCAAGAGAGGAATAGTATCAGGAGTATATTTTGTTCTAAATAAGCTCAGGGTGAAACTAAAATGACTAGTTTTCTTTCTCCTCCCCTCTTCCTTATTAAGTTCTTAAATGTTCAGTTCATCCAATTTGTAGAAAACAATGGTACTACTAATGGCTATAGGTAAGGAAGGTATTCAAGCAGTAAGGCCCCACTAGGAACAAACAGAAGCAGAAGTTCATTGTGGAAAATAATTCGAGGCATTTTATAATCTAGAAAACAATTCATGTTTCAAAACACAGTTTAATAAGTAGCATAATCTTACAGAAGACGATATTTTTCTGCTTCTTGAAATTAGTCAAAACCAAAATTAATAAAACTATATTAATTTAAAATAGTTACTTTTTGAATTTTCTGAAAATTGAATGGGGCTCAAAAAGTGAACTGGTTTTTAGTTCTTGCATAATACTTTCCAGCTGATTTATTCTTGTAAGGCTACTGAGGAGTCTTTTAGTAAATTATTTTCTTTAGTAAACTAAAAAAAATGCCTGACTTCCAAAGAGAAGTTTTTTGCACTTGAAGGACTTGGGTCAATAAATGGAGTTACCATGGAGTTACTTATTTCCCTAGTTTCCTCAGAAGAGAATAGGTTCAGACCAAACAAAAGACAGTCGATTGGGAGTGCCTGGCAGGCTCAGGCAGCAGAGCATGTGACTCTTGATCTTCGGGTTGTGAGTTTGAGCTCCATGTTAGGTACAGAGATTATAAATAAACTTTAGAAAAAACAAAACAAACAAACAAAAGACAGTTGATTGCTCTCTTGATGAGGATGTAAGATAATCATTTACTTACCCTCCATGATGGTCAAAGGATCTTCCACTTTGGGGCGCAGGATATTAGGGCCAAAGACAGTGGCCAAGTTCTGCACACTCATTTTGTTAACTCCAGAATAGGATTGTACTTCATCCAAGAACCTGTTGGATATAAGAACATGAACAAAACAATGGTATCAAATTTTGTCAGTGGAAGAAAATGGGTTATTAGGAAATTTATTAACTAGAATATGTTCAAATACAATTATGGAGACAAAATTATTTAGAAATTCAAACATCTCTCAGTCAAATGTGGGGAAAATATATTGCAAATGATTAAGGATCAAACTTGAGGGATCATATCAAATATCTCTGGCCTGGCTTAGCTTGGTTTCCTCTGTCCATCACAGAAACAGGTGTATTTGGATAATGTTAATATGGACATGAGATTCAAGAATATGGATTTTCTTTCAATCCTCAAAGAAAACATTTAATTTATATGTATATTCAACTTGAGAACTATAAATAAGATCATCTGGTACAATCCTTTATTTCAGACAGGAGGAATCAACCCTCTTTATTGAGTAATTTGTGAGCTTCAAATTTATAGTCTATTAAAAAATGATATCAAACATGGTTTAAATTAAAACCTAGTTCTACTAATATGAAAAATTAATATAAGCACAACTTTTTCAATTTATTAGGTGCTAAAGAATAAGAAGCATGCAATAGACTTTTTCCCAAATGATTTTAGTAGGAGGGATTGTTTTTGTAGTCTTTCAGCCATTTTTCATTCCCCAGCCCCTCTTCATTTCTAAATTTCCTGGTTTATTAATTGTACTGATGAGACAAAGAGGAAGTGATGAAAAAATAAAAAAGAACTTATTATTATTATTTTTCACTTGGTTTTATTTACTTATTTTTTTTATTTCAAATTTTTATTTAAATTCTAGTTAGTTAACATACAGGAGTAGGATTTAATGATTCATCACTCACATATAACACCCAGTGCTCATCACAATAAGTGCTTTCCTTAATATCCATCACTCATTTAGCCCATCCCCCACCCACCTCCCCTCCATCAACCCTCAGTTTGTTCTCTATAGTTAAGAGTCTCTTATGGTTTGCTTCCCTCTCTCTCTTTTTTTCCCTCTCCTTCCCCTATGTTCCTCTGTTTGGTTCTTTAATTCCACATATGAGTGAAAACATATGGTATTTGACTTATTTCACTTGGCATAGAGAAATGGATAAAGAAGATATATATACCATATAGATATATATACACAACAGACTATTACTCAGCCATCAAAAAGAATGAAATCTTGTCATTTGCAACAACATGGATGAAGCTAGAGTGTATTATGCTAAGCAAAATAAGAGAACTTATTATTATTTAAAAGAATATATTTTATGTGGCAGTCATTGCACTAACTTACTAAATTCTCAAAGCAACTCTGTGAGGTAAATACTATGATTATCTCCATTTTACAGATGAGACACATGAGGCACCAGAGTGGTTAAGAATATTCTCCAAGGACACAAAAGTAACAGGTGGCAGAGCCAAGATTTGAACCCGGATCGTCTGACTCTGGAGTCTGTGCTCTTGACTACTCCCCTATGACTTTGAAGAAAGGCACCTGTTCCACATATTCATTACTGTTAGACAGGCTAAGCTATAGTTTAAAACTGAAGGGTAAAAACTCATACCAGCGTAATTTCTTATTTGAAATAGCTGAAACCAAAAGTCTGCTTAAATGTTTCAAGAAAAGTGAAGTTCTCCTACTGTGTAGATAAAGATGGGTAATACGGTTCTCAAGGAGAAGTCTTTTCCCTTTTACTTAAAGACGATGTCTTTTCTCATTTACCACAACAGCTTGAATTAGTTCAAAATCTTGGGATGGAACCCTGATGTGTTAATGAATCTGTTATCAGTAGTACTATTTCTTTCTTTTTTTAAATATGAAACCTGGGGTGCCTGGGTGGCTCAGTTGGTTGGGCGGCTGCCTTTGGCTCAGGTCTTGATCTCGGGGTCCTGGGATCAAGCCCCATGTTGGGCTCCCTGCTCAGTAGGGAGTCTGCTTCTGCCTCTCCCTCTGCCCCTCCCCCCACTGGGTTTCTCTCTCTCTCAATCAAGTAAATAAATAAAATCTTTAAAAAAACAAATTATGAAACCTAAACTCATATTTGCTTCCTACCATCCCCAGAAAAAGCTACAGTAGGAGATTCTGGAATTCCTACTCAGTTACAGTTGACAGTGAGGTCCACAGTGTCTGACATTAGTCTTTTTTTTTTTAAAGATTTTATTTATTTATTCATAAGAGACAGAGAGAGAGAGAGAGGCAGAGGGAGAAGCAGGGTCCCTGCTGAACAGGGATCCTGATGCGGGACTCGATTCCAGGACCCTGGGATCATGATCTGAGCCGAAGGCAGACGCTTAACCATCTGAGCTACCCAGGCGCCCTGTCTGGCATTAGTCTTAAATTGCATTTTAGTTCCCAGTCTGCTGAACATTTATCTAATCATGACACAAAAAGTATATGCAAATGTTAATACTGCATTGAATTAAAAATTTGAATTATTTAAAAATAAACTGAAAGGCTTTCATATAAGATACCTTAGAGTGATTTGTATTGCCAATCATCATCTCTTTATTTAAATTTAATGTTTCAATTTTACATATTTGGTGTCTTTATTTTTTTTGTTTTTATTTAAATTCCAGTTAGTTAACATACAGTGTAATATAAGTTTCAGGTGTGCAATTTAGTGATTCAGCACTTCCATACAACACCCGGTACTCATCTCAACAAGTGCTTTCCTTAATCCCCATTACCTATGTCACCCATCCCCTACCTGCTGCCCCTCTGGTAACCATCAGTTTGTTCTCTATAGTTAAGAGTCTGTTTCTTGGTTTGCCTCTCTCTTTCTTCCCCCCATGATTGTTTGTTTTGTTTCTTAAATTCCACATATGAGTGAAATCATATGGTTTCTTAAACAGGGGCACAGTCATGTCATATACCATCCCAGGCCATAGGTAAATATGGTCATGAGTGAGAGATTTACCAGGCACAATTATTGTCCTAACGGAATTGAATAAAAATGTCTTTTCAATGAGTCTTGAAGTAAGAGGGAAATAGAAAGAAAATAATATTTATTCAATCAAAAAATATAATTTAAATCTTAAAACAACTGTGTGAAATGTGTGTTTTCAATACTCTTTTACCTAGTAGGACGCTTAGAGAGAATAAGAAAATTGCATACAGACACATAGGAAGTCAGTGATAGAAACTGGCACCCCCCACTGGTCTTTCTCATGCTAAGGTAAATGCTCCTCTAAACAAAGAACTTTAATGGAAATTTGAAGCAACAGATCCTTCTTATGTAGACTAAGAGAGACTCAGAAACAACAAATGACAAAAATCGAGCAATTTCAGTGCTCAGAGAAACCTTTGAGATCATCTTGACAAACCTCTTAATTTTATAGAGATCAACACTAGAGCTCAGAACAGTTCAGTGATTTTATTCATGGTCAAAAGTAAGTTAGTATTAGGCTATATATAGTCTTGTTCTGTTTAGTTTTGTCTTTAGGACAATTCTTACCTGCAAATATACTTCAGGAGGTTGTAATTGACCACTGGCAAACTCTTCACCTGCTTTGCTAATTCCTTAACACCCTGAGTAAAAAGAAATAGAGAATGAATGTTATCTAAGCGTTGGCCTTGGAATTAAAGCAAATAAAAAATGGGTATACAGTTTTTTTCATTAGTTTCACATATCATCAGTGAAGAATCCTGTCCTGAAAACTTGCCACTATTAGAGAGCATTTCACAAATATTTTCAAAGATGTGAAAAAGTATTTCAAATATTTCCATAAGTACTATTTGTGGAGAAACAGATGTGAAGTGAAGCCTTTTTAACATTTTTAATACTTGCTCACAGTTGACTAAAAAGGGAAGATAGCCTCATTTTTAATAAGGTTATTCGGGGAAAAAAGTGGCCTAAATGTAGTGAGGATCTTTCCCATTTCTGGCATGCTCAAAACAGAGACAAACACACGTCTACTGACAAGTAAGTCTCTCAAGATGGGCCATGTCTAGGATACACTGTTTGGGGTGGGATGGAGAATGAAAAGCCTGCTCTTCAAGGACATTTCACAAATGGATTAATTGCTTGGGTTCTTCTCATTGTAGAACTTCTAATATGTAAATGGTCCTAGAAAAGCTAATGGATAATGTAATCTAATTTGTTCTTCTTCCTGAAAAAGGCCAGATGGTAAACATCGCAAGCATTCTGGGACATATGGTCTCTGTCTCAAATACTCTACTCTCCTGTTGTGGTACAAAAGCAGCCACAGACAATATTACATAACAAAGTAAAACTTCATTTATAAAAATAGGCAGCAATTTCAACAAGAGTGCCAAGAAAATCCAGTGGAGGAAACGAGAGTCTTTCCAACAAATGGTTCTGAGACAACTGGATATCCATGTGCCACAGGATGCAGTTGGATCTTTCCTCATATCATAAACCAAAATTAACTCAAAATGGATCACAGACCTAAATGTAAGAGTTAACGTTACAAAAGTCTTACAAGAAAATATAGGAATAAATCCTGGTGAGCTTGGTTAAAGGCTTCTTAGATATGACATTAAAAGCACAAGTGACAAAAGAAAAATAGATAAATTGGACTTCATTGCAATTAAAAACTTTTGTGCTTCAAAGGACACTATCAAAAAACTGAAGAGACTTGGGGCGCCTGGGTGGCTCAGTCATTTGAGTGTCCGACTCTTGATTTTGGCTCAGGTCATGATCTCAAGGTCATGGGAGTCTGGCATCGGGTTCTGTGCTCAGCGGGGAGTCTGCTTGAAATTTCCTCTCTGCCCCTCCCACCCTCTCTAAAATAAATAAATAAATCTTTAAAAAGATCTGAAGAGACAACTTATAGAATGGGAGAAATATTTGCAAATCAAATCATTTATCTGATAAGAGGTTTATAACCTAAACTATAAAGAACTCTCACAACTTGATAATAAGACAAATAACCCAATTAAAAATGGGAAAATGATTTGAAGAGATGTTTTTCCAAAGAAAATATGTGAAGAGCCAATAAGTACATGGAAAAATGTTTAACATCATTAACCATCAGGGAAAAGCAACTCAAGCTCAATGAGATCTCACTTTACTTACATTAGGGTGGCTATGATAAAAAAGAGAGAGAACAAGTGTTGGCAAAAATGTAGAGACGTTGGAATCTGCACACATTGCTGGTGGGAATTTAAAATGATGGAGCCTCTTTAAGAAACACAGAGTTACATATGGCCCAGCAATTCTGCCTTCTAGGTATATACCCAGGAGAAATGCAGACATATATCCATGCAAAACTTTGCACGTGAATATTCACAGCAGCATTATTAATAATAGTCAAACAACAGAAACAACACACATGTGCTACAACTGATGAACGGATAAATAAATAAATAAATAAATGGCGTGAAATACTAAATATATGTGGTATAGTGTGGATGAACCTTGGAAACAGTGAAAGAAGACAGTCACAGAAGACAATGTAGTGAATGATTTCATTTATATGAAAGAGCCACGAGACACAAGTCTACAGATACAGAAAGGGATTAGTAGTTGCCAAGAGCTGGGGAAAGTGGGGCCTGGGGAAGAGATATGGCGTTTGTTATAGGCTGATGGAAATGTGGTACATATTCTAAAATTAGATTTTGGTAGTGGTTGCATAACTCTTGAGAATACAATTGACCCTGAGTAATGTGCGGGTGAAGGGCACCAATCCCCCCTAACTCGAAAATCCATGAATAACTTTTGACTCCCCCAAAACTCAATTACTAATAGCCTGTTGTTGACTGGAACCCTTACTGATAACATAAACAGTTGATTAACAAATATTTTGTATGTTTTAAGCATTACATGCTGTATTTTTACAATAAAGTAAGCTAGAGAAAAGAAAATAGAATATTAAGAAAATCATAAGGAAGAGAAAATACATTTATAGTACTGCACTGCAAAAAATCCATGTATAGGAGGACCCATTCAAACCCTTGTTGTTTGAAGGTCAGCTGTATACTAAAATGCACTGATTGTACACTTTAAGTAGGTGATTATATGGTATATGAATTATATCTCAATAAAGCTGTTTTAAAAAAATGGTAGATAAGATTTGGTAGAAGGCATTGTTTAGGTAATTTAGAGGGGCACACAATGAAAAAGAGAATATGAAATAAGGCATCCACTTTGTTCATGGACTGTTTGGCCTGATGTAGCACAGTTAAGCATTTAGAGGAGCAAAGTGGGCAAGGAGGGTTCATTTCATTTATTAACCTGCAGTTTCTTTTTGACAAGAGAGGGGATTAAAAATGGGACCTGAGTTGTGTATGTAATATCAAAGTGTGTGCAATATCAATAAATACATTAGTGGAAAATAATCCAAGGATGGGACAAAAGGAAATTTACAAATTAAAAACTAAGAACATTGACAAGAAACCCAAATGAAGGTTTGTTAAGAAAGAAATGCATCAACTTACAGCTTCTTCTTCCTTGCTGAGCAGTTTGGCACAGGACAAAAAATCTTCATACTTTGCATAAGGAATGACTGGTTCTGGAAGTTCTCGGAGATAGAGTTTAAGAAGTGACGCCACTGTGTGTACATCCGTGTTGCTGTGGAGAAAGAAGTGTGAAGATACTCTTTGGAGTAAACTTTATGCTATCTGATTTAGTTTTTCATCAAATACACATTGAAGAGTCAGAATTCTATACGAGTTGGCAACTCAATCAGTAAGTTCAGCTTTCAAGAAGCACATACTTTCATAAGGCCTATGAAATGCTACCACAGGTGGAGAGGAGAGGGATCTGGAAGGACTCTGGAAGTTTCAGTGTGGTCTGAAAATATTCAGAAGGGCAAGCACTTTTCTTTTGTGCGTACTCGATGTTAAGCAAAAGTGTTAACTTTGGAAAGCAATGCCAATATACCAGACTTTAAATGAATTATGATACAATTTACAAAAAATACCAAATCCATCCATGCATGCATGTATTCAATGTCACAATTAATCAGTTCTGAATCCTAGCTTCATTTCTTATTCTTTTTTTTAGTCTTTTATTTTTTTTATATTTTTTTTAATTTTAATTTTATTATGTTATGTTAGTCACCATACAATACATCGTTAGTTTTTGATGTGGTGATCCATGATCCATTGTTTTCGTATAACACCCAGTGCTCCATGCAGTACATGCCCTCCTTACTACCCATCACCGGGCTAACCAATCCCCCCTCCCCCCTTCCCTCTAAAACCCTGTTTGTTTCTCAGAGTCCATCGTCTCTCATGGTTCATCTCATTTCTTATTCTTTAGAAGACATTGGTGACTGGTTATAGATATCAGAAACTTAGTATGACATGTTATAACTTCTTTTAAGCAGAACTTATTTTGAAATGATTGGTTCTCAGCATGATCTCTTGTCTTATATTCTAAGCCATTTGGGAATCCTTAGGGTCTTCTAGAAAGAGAAGGAATGTACTACAAAAATAAACAATGAAAACACAACCTGTCCTTTGTATAATATGCAAAACCACCAGTGACAGGATAATTTCTTAAAATACTAATTTAATTTTGTGCTCTCTATCTCCATGTTAATCCCATGAAGATGGCAGACAGTAAAGACTACAAGAGGTGAATTTTGTTTGTTTGTTTATTTAATTTTGAGTGAGGGGAATAGAAATGTGGCAAGGAGGAATTGGTGGGCAGGGAGTGAAAGGCCAATTGACCTTGAGAAGTTGAAGAACAGCAGTGAACAAGGTCAGGGATTCTGTAGGTATTGAGAATGAACATCCCACTCCCAGGCGGTGTTGCAGGGGGCGACGTGTCCCCAGAGGGGTCTACCTTGAAAGCTACCATACAGTTGAATTTCCTGCCTCAGTGAATATTCTCTTGCCTCAAGGGTGACATGGAAGCAGAGTTGCCATCACAAAACTACAGGGGCTGGGACAATGGGCATCTCAGTTCTCAATTTTGGATTTCATCAGCTATTTCCCACACGCCTACTACTGTATTGAACTACAGAAACACACAGTGGCTAGGACCCCAAATGGTTAAAAAAAAGATTATTTCAGCCTGCTCGAAATTTATAATCTAGTGGGGACGGGGCATATTAAGTAGATAATAACACAAGCATATAATTGCAAAGTGTTGTGAGTGGTAATAAGGAAAAGTGTTGGATGATATCTAATAACAAGAGAGGACTAATTAGGGGTTGGAGGGCTTCCCTGAGGAAATGATTCATAGGTCAAGGTCTGAAGGGTTGTAATAATTAACCAAGTGAGAACAGAACCACGAAAGAAGGCATTCCCGATTAAAGCAAGGCAGGTAAACAGAGCCCAAAGTGGGAGGGAACATCCTGTCCTTGAGGAGGTAACGAAAAGCTAAGGGAGAGCCAAGTTCAGAGTGGGAATGGATGAGTTTTGCGTGTCGGCAGCATTCTCTTAGAGCTGGGGACTCCACCTTCCCCCATATTAGACAGGGCGAAGGCTGAGCTGCTTCATTTCAGTGTTGAAGTCAGTCAAAGCAGGTGCTTTGTCAACCATTCTGCAGATGTTAAAATGATGGAGGTAATCTGATAGGGCCTGTCTTAAACTAATTTTGTTCTTTCCTAATTAAATAAGTATATTTTTTTCCTCTTAAAATTCTGAACTGATAGGCAATATAGAAGTCAACTCAAAGGCTAGTAAAGAAAATAAAAGTCACATCTCTGGGACATCTTGAAAACTGTGCCTAAGCTCATTAACTCCATAAATTACTTTCTACAAAATTTTTTAAACAGATAGTCCTAACATAGCGTCAATGGTAAGACTAGTTTTTTTTGTGTGTGGGTTTTTTTTTTTTAAACACTCTATTTTATGCATATCAAAGCCCTTCAGTGTTTCTCTGGCTATGTAGTGAAGAACCCGACCCTTGAAGGTACAATCATCAGCACTAACAAAACCACAACCTGGGACAGGATAGGCAGTGCAATCAAATATTACAATAAATGATTCCATCTTTTGATTCTGCTCTAATCCAACCCAACCCATGACTAGGTTGCTTGTGTTGCCTTCAAAGACAATGACCATTGTGTTAGAGTTACAGGAAGGTACAGAAAAAATATAAAAATAAAAGATAAAATAAGTATAATTTCAATACATGGAGTATGTTATTTATAATTTGTCTGACTATATAAATAGAATATATAAAAATATTTGCAAAGGAAATGTAATAAATGAGGCAATAATGATAAATAAGAAATATACATTTAATGAAAAATTCTGTTCCCGTGTTTCAGTGACTGACTATTCATTACATTGACTGTCCCTGGCACACTGGGTTGTTTTTGTTATTGTTGTTGTTATGTTAATCACCATACATTACATCATTAGTTTTTGATGTAGTGTTCCATGATTCATTGTTTGCGTATAACACCCAGTGCTCCATGCAGTACGTGCCCTCTTTAATGGCACACTCTTTTTAAGGTTAACTTGCTTGCTCCTTGTATTTCTTGGCTTCTGATGAAGTTGAGCTATAGAACTGAGGACATGTGAACACTAGATGGCACCATTGTAAAGTCAGAGTAGTCAGAGGACGCTAACATTGTGAAGGATGAAAGGCTGCAGAATCATTCTTCATCCACCAGCAATTTTCTTAGCACCAGAGCTGCAGTAATGTTCCAAGAATAGAAATATTTGAGCTATGAATCAAGGTAAGAGACGTGGATTGGATGATGATTTTATTCCTTCCCTAAAGTGATGCGTTATATTAGCTTTCTAGCATTATAGTACACACCCACATATGGTTAGTTATACAGAAATGATGAAGAAAAGATGACCAAATACTTTCCCATTTTTTTTCAATTAACAAAGGTTATTAAATTTTTACTTAAGGGCTAAAACTTAAAAATACATTACCCTCTTTTTGGGGGCTTTATTAAACTTAGGTTATTCTGTTGAAATAGAGACACCTTCATTTTCCTGGCGTTCTCATTTTTGGCTTTGTCCTTTCCCACTGAATGGAAGAAAACAATTGCTTCTGGGAAGTCTCCAGCATGTATGCCAGTTCTGATTCACCTCAAGGGGCTCACAGTCCATCTGCCCTTCTTGCCAGAAAGCCACCTACTGCAGCGGGAAGTCTGGTGCTTGTCTGAAAAATCTCTTTGCATATCCACTGTACAAAATGGCAGCCATCTGCATCTCACTGTCCACCCTATCTCTTACTGAAAACCCACGATTCTGACTAATTAGTATTTGCTTACCGTGGACATCCAAATAAGTAAATACTAATATGCTGTGGTAATTGCCCAATGTACCTAGGGGAACGTGTCATCTTTGTCCCAGGGAAATGTATCTCAGTCTTTATCAAAGAAAGAGAAACGATGGGGTGCCTGGGTGGCTCAGTCGGTTGAGTGTCCGACTCTAAATCTCAGCTCAGGTCTTGATCTCGGGGTCATGAGTTCAAGCCCTGCATTGAGCCTATTTAAAAAAAAAAAAAAAGTGAAGGGACTGCACTGTAGCAAAAGTCAGTGTACAATAGAGAATGAAGATACCTAACCTGGTTAATAATAATAATAATAATAATAATAATAATAACAGCTGCAGCAGCAACACCGCCTATACATATCTCACTCTGCATCAAGCCTGTGAGCAGGGCCTGTTACTAACCCTACTTTGGGTACTTGAACAAGAAACCACCCTGGTATGAAATTCTTTCTGACTAATCACGAAGTTATGAGTGGTTTTAAAGTCTTCTGGTAGAAACTCAAGACTATTTACTAATATAAAGTCATTATACAAGTCTCAGGTCTCTTTCACTCACCTGGTGGTAGAATCTGTTTTCAGAAATTAAGGTGCATAATCATGCACATTCTATCCAGTGACGGCAAAGACGCAGAGACAGGCCCCAGGATCCTGAGTAAAGGAGCCCGCAGAGCAGGAGATGCTCTGTAGCATGTGTCCTTTAATTGATCAGCGTATGGGTTTTGTTTTCCTCTTATATTGTACTTGGACTTTACTTCTGAGTCCTGCTGCCTCATGTATAGTCTTTTTACCATGCTTAAAGGGAGCATTTCATGAGACTTTCACTGACTGACCTAATTTTATATTCTCATGCGTGTGCTTTTGGTCATTCTGGAATCCTTCTACCAATAGTAGTCCCTGAATACTTATGGTGGGCATGGCTTCATGCCACATGCTGGGTGAAACAGAAATGAACAACATAGATCTTTCTGTCCCCCTTGGGCTTATATCTCTAACTAATTACCAACAATACTTTTCCATACCATGCCCCTACTTCTTAACCTTTCCTGTAAAATCTAGCTGCTAAGTCGCTGTCACGTGTGAGATCTTAAGGATGTTCTTTACAGTTCCTGGAAATCGCCTGCCTTATTTATAATCTATGTACCATATAGGCCTCTCACTAATCTGAAGAGGGATAAAGAAGTCTGACAACAATCCTTCCTTGTTCATCCGCTACTCCCACCCCTTCCTTCCCTGATAAATAGACTCTCATCTACGGATCAGTTCAAATGCCACAGTAATTACAAGTAAAATACTACACAGGCAACACCTTGAAACTTTTAAGCCTCAAAATTAGAAATGGGAATTTTTCACCCTGGATGCTATGCACAAAGCACAATA